AGAGTTGCAGTGAGGTTCTTCTTATGTCGTCACAAAACTCTGTAGTCGAGAGAGTCAAGTCAATAGAGTTTGAGGACAGAGTTTAAAAATAAACCGAATTTTATAAAATTTAGGAATCTGGCATGAATTTTCTCATTGTTGTTCGATTGGCCCCTTTATTTATTTTTTTGATCGAAAAGGCCCCTTTAATTTATTTGTCAATTTCGTTCTAAACACTCTATTTAAAGTTTAGAATCTATTTGTTTTCTTATTGCTTTAAGTTTTAGGGATATTTTGAAAAATACACCAATTATGTTTGAGATTTGAAAAATATACTTTGTTTTTTTTTGTTTTTGAAAAATACCTCTTTCAATAATTTAAAAGTCTCTTTTGTCCTTATTTGATTTAACAACTAATTAATTTGTAAATATAATAATTCTTATTATTCATTCTATTTTTAATTAAGATAAATTTGTGTTATTTTAAAAAAAATAATAATTAATTCGTAAATAGAATTATTGTTAATATTATTTTTTTTATTTGAGATAAAGTTGTGTTATTGATTTTAAAATTAATTAATTCGTAAATATTATTAATATTAATATTGCCTTTTTTATTTGAAAAAGTTTTTTTGTTGTTTTAAAATTTAAAATTTACTACTAGATATAAAAAACATTCTCTTGTTATATAAGATGTTTATTTTTAACATTTATTACATTATAAACTATTTAAAATAACACCATACGTTTATTATATAAAGAGGAGTATCAAGTTTTGGAAGCAAAATAAAAAACTATAATTTTAATAAGATATTTCATTAAAAACCTTTTTAGGCTTATTTTATTTTATGTAAAAATTCTATGTGGATCGTTTAAAAAATATTTTATGGCATATTAATAGTGAATATTTCTTTTGTATAATTATAATTTTAGATAATGTTATATAAAATTTTTTATAATCTCATGTCAAATATAAGATAAATTTTGTAAAAGATATGATCAACTAAACTTTAGGCTATATATATATATCACAACAAATTAAATCTTATTTAAAATATATAATATTTTATTCAGATTTTATGGGGATATTTTAATAATTTTAAATTCAATAAAATGTATTTTTCAAAACTACTAAAAAAAGAGGTATTTTTTAAATTTAAAAAGCCAAAAAAGGTATTTTTCCAAATTTTCTCTAAGTTTTAATCCATATGATACGACATGATATGACGTGTTTGTGTTTATAATACACACCGAGTCACCAAAACAATTCTTCTCAACAAATTAGTATGGTATAATTAGTTGATCATTCTTATTCCAAGAATAGAATTTAAGAAATGTTTAAAAAAAAAAAATGATTTAACGTTTTCCGTGAAAATAACATTCAGCGAGTGGACCAGCTAACACACTAACTAACACATTTTGATAAGGTACTAAAGTATATTTTTATTCAGAACAATTACCAACACTGTGAAGAATCGAATCTCGGCTTACCGGCAACAAAATCCGGAGTGTGCAAGCGAATGCATGCAGTATTGGTTTGAACGAGACAAGAAACTACACCAGCGATCTCCCTATCGTTTTCTCCTTCACATTGAAAGAGACACACACAACGAAGTCCCCAACGATACAACGATTAGGGGTGGAACGGATCCGAATATTCTGGAATTTCAAGTTATCCGGATCCGTGAAAAAAACTATCCGGATCCGGAATCAGGACCTCCGGATATCCGGACTCTGGATATCTGCAAAAAAAAAACGGATATCCGCGGATATCCGGATCCGGATCCGAAATTAATATTAAAAATAATTAAAATAATTAAATAAAAATATATTTTTAAAAATTATTAATTAATATTTTAAATGATATTTTTCATTATTAATATAATTTATTATAAAAAATCAATTTTTATATATATTTATTTATATAAAATTAGCTTAAGAGATATATAATATATCTGTTTTTAATATATTTAATGCGTCCGGATCCGGATTCGGATATCCGGACATTAAAATTTTGTTATCCGGATCCGGATCCTGATCCTCTTTTCACGGATCCTATATTTTACTATCTTTATCCGGATCCGGGCTCCCCGGATATCCTAATTTTTAGAACGATTCCGAATGGATAACGGATCGATTCTCGGATCCCGGATAATAATTCAACGATCTGGTTTAGGGGTTGAAAGCGATACAACGAAGAAACTGGTTATTCCCCAACGATATTGGGCTGCTTCAGTATCATCGGTGGTCTCTTCTGGGCCTTCACTACTTGACTCTCTCTACTGGGCCTCTTTAAATATTCTCTAATGGGTCGTGCATTATGGAAAGGATTGAGAAATGGCTGGCTACTACTACCTCATAATTTTTGGGAAAATCGTATAAAAAGTTTCGAAAGTGATGACAGACTCACATTTTAAACTTTCAAATTTTTTATTAGCATTTTAAACATTCAACTTAAAAACTACTAACACAATAAACCCCCTAAAATGGTATTTTAATACGTGCCGTCATAAAACTTAACGGAACTGTTCATTTTCCGTTTAGAGCTAATGACGTGGCATTAAAT